CCCACCCCACCCCACCCCACCCCTGGACCATCTGCTCAAATGGATAGCAGTCTCAAAGGTCACAGCAGTTATGGTCCATCGTGACCCTGTCAATATCATTGCTGCACTCATCTGTAATGGAAGACACTTGGGGAGGTTGATAGTAGTCAGGTGGCAGGTCGTAGACTGGTGATACTGTATGCGCAATATGTACTGTATTCATCCTCATATGTAGGAGTAGTGACCGTGAAGCGGGATATCACAGCCAGGATTGTGTCCTTGAAATGTTCATCAACTGTGTGCTGGTGTGATAGTATGACTACACAGTGCAAGGCTAAATAAGTATGTTGCCAAACTCCAAGAAGCTTTACACTGTATGTGGGAGTAGAAGAAACTATACAAATCTGTGTTGGAATGAAAGTGGGGCTATCCTCCATAGCTGTGATAGCACAGACGTTCTTGCACTGGAGCCAGATTATAATGAAATGCTGGTGTCAGACTGGAGACAGGGGAAAGAATCGGGCCTGTGGAACAGAGGGCTAATAATAGCAGCTGAAACTATGCTATTCCCACCACTGGCTAAGCAACCATCATCACACTTGTGCACACACACAGGCTTGGCACAGAGTTTGAACAGTAACCTGATCAAGCCGCCACAGAAACCGAAGCAATCAGGAATCAAAGCAAATCCAGCTGTGCGCATACTGTGCATGTGCCATACAAATGTAAGTGTGTGCGGATGTGCGTGTGAACATGGACTAGGGCAAGCGAGCCAAAAATAAATGGAAGCAGAGTTTGGTGGAAACCACTTTTCCCTCCACAAAGCGAAGGGGCGTTTGCCTCTGATCTATCCTACCAGAGAGGAAAGAGGGCCTTTCATTCAGCATGAGGAGAGCTGTCTTTTCTCCTCTTGCCCCTCATTTCCACCCTCATCTTCACTCCTAGAGAGCATCTGAAGCCCATTCTCTCCCTCTCTTCCTCTCTCCATCCCCCGCAAATATAACAACTCTCCCCGCGACAAGACGAAAGGCTTTTTGCTCCTAATTGTACCCAGCCGTCACAGAGACTAGAGTTGAGGAGAACAGGAGAGGATGGGGGGGAAAAGGAGAAGAGAAAGGAGTAGGGCAGGGAAGAGGAGTCAAACGGAGGAAAGAAGGAATGAAGAAATAAAAGAAGTGTTTGTTCAGCACCACAGGCTGACACACGTCTCTTATCTCTTGCCCAGTCAAACCATATGCCCATAGGCCGCAGAGGGGAGGAGGGAAGTGAGATGAGGTGTGTGAGGGAGGGAAGGCTGGGGATTGATTAAAATTCATCTTTGCAGGATATTGCAGAATCTTTAAAGAGGCACATTCCACACATACTGTAGGTTAACAGTTGTTCAAGGTCAGCCAAAGACTGAGCCAGAAATGAAAACATGACGAGTGGACACTGACCGGCTACACGGCGAAGAACTTACTTGAACCAAAAGGGCTTCTGCCTCGACCTGCAGCCGTCTCACTCCCCTACAGGTTCCCAGTCATCTGTTAACCACACACGCCGCTTGGCACAGCACAGACGCCAACACCACACGACACAGAGCCACCGTCAAAGCCTCAGACACTCCAGCAGCAGGAGCCATCAGGCCTGGCTGCCTAAAAGAAGAAGAGGAAAGAAAACAGCTTTGATTATACACAGGCGTTCACTCTCTGGAAACAAAAGCGGACACAAATTGTGAATGTCAAACACCATCCTGACTGCTACTGTAGTATGGAAACACTGTGTTTGGTTAGTTTTGCATTACTGGCCAGGACCTGCCAAGTCATTAACATATAGCTAGAGGTTGGACTTGTTAAGGTGAATAGTGAGTTTAATGTACACAGTAATATCCTGACTGAGTGACTGAGGTACTGTATGTGTGTGCGACTGTTCCCACATGTTCAACTCCCACTGAACCATGCATCTGATCCTCTAGTTTACTGACTGGAAACTGATACCTTTAAGGGCTTCATTCATGCTACATTACGCGAGGTAAATTCAATAGCCCAGACATCAGGGTCTGGTCACTCACCTTCTTGCCTGGGGTGATTTTTACATGTCGGATGTCCACCTCTCTGCGTTTTCCTTTACAGAAGCGCCTGTGTTTCCCAGCGCCCTGCTGCACAGCCTCGTTTCTCACTAACACATCCAGCTCAGGCCGCTAAACGTGTCCTGAGGCCTGGTGAAGTTTATTTAATTCTGTGTGAGTTTTATGCCCTTTTAATAGGCGTAGAAATGTACGTAAATGGGGATTTTATCAGCTAGATTCCAATGTGTGACTCCACATTACTGGAGCGCCATTAAATTTAAACTCCTGGAAAGTACGCTGTTTCGAGGAAGAGATCCAAGTGAGTCTGCAGCGTGTGTGGGTAAATCAGTGTGTGACCAGCGATGTTCGTCTAATGGTGTGAATTTACAGCATGCCTCCTGAATGTACCTCCGACCCATCTCTCACACATACACAAGCATGCACAAACATAGACACGATCCTGGGTGCAGAAGGTGCACAGAAATGTCACAGTGATAAAGGGTGCACCTTCTGCACCCTTTATCACTGTGACATTTCCATTTAAGCACACGACCCAAGAGCTCCTACATTCACATCCATGTTTCCTGTGCCCCATGCTGAGGCACAATACCAACCACTTAACATTTAGCAATGGCAGATTCCAAATTCTTCCACTTCCCAACTCTTCCATTGGAAAGTTCATTATTTATCTTTGATTTAGAGCGACAAAGAGTTATGAAGGGGCCATAGCCTGCTACCAGAAAACAAAAGGAGCATGGGCTTACTGCTGGTTTATGGTGCACATTTAGGAACACTTTTATCTACTCTGAACTTAACTGCAGAGCTGCAATGAATGCAACTTATAGGCAGAGCCAAAATGCTTATGTGCAGACAATAGCTCTCAACCTGGTGAAAGAGACCCCCCAAAGGCTCCAGAGATAAATCTAAGAGGCCACAATTTGAATAAAAGGGAAGAAGAAGATAAAAACACATCACTGTTACACACGATTATATTTATGCTTTTTCAGCTTTTGTGTCATTTTGTTAAAGAGTGACTATGTGTGAAATACTTTCACTTTCACCTCTACCAGCCTCTGAAAATCTCTCTAGTGAAACAATCCTAACGGCCACAGCCCATGATGAGGGGTCGAAAGCAGGGCTGCAACTGCTTCATTATTGAATACTTTGTTTATCCAATGATTGCTTGGTCCATAAAATGCTTTAAAGTAATGAAACATGTTTTCAAATGTTTTGTTCTGTCCAAACAAAATGACATAGGACCCACTGAGGCAGGGAGTCTAAACTTCAGAGGCTGAGACCAAAGGTTTTTTGGCATTTTTGCCTGAAAAACAACCAAATTACCAGCTGCTACAAATTAATTTGTTCATCAACTTTTGGTTTGCATTTAGGGGACAAATGCTAAAAAGGTTGGGAATCACTTGACTAGGCTACAATTTTTAATGAAATTAAGAGGTAAATAACTTTACAGAGGACACGTTTTTAGGGAAAAAAACTCGGTTCAAATAGACAGGCTCTCGTCTAAATAGGAAACTTGTACCTATTTATGGCTGTGGTCCGTTTCTATGAATACTCATGTAGAAAGCATGAGCCTACATAAACAGATTCATGATATATTGTGAATATTAGGGTGTTTCTGGTTCTACAAGGTCTTGACTTATTTGTCAACCCATCAGTTCAGTAGCGAACATAAAGAGAAAGACCATGAAAATTACAGAGGATCTCACCTCTGCCTTAATTTAAACCAGATGTGGCAGGTGATGACTTTTCTCCACTCTTTCATTCGCTACCGAGGGATGCTAGCCCGGGGCGTCGGCCTGCCGCCTTCCCTCCACCTCAGGCACGCTGAGCTCCAGCGTTTAACACGATGATTAATCACACACAGCGGCGGACGTGCTGTGCTGAACACGGCCAATCGCCTCCATCAAAGCGGGGGAGCTCCGGCGGACACAGAGAGGACTTTGTCCCGGGGAAACACAGGTCATTGTATGCCCCGAAAACAAGTGGGGGTACCTGAAGGTGGACTTTGTGAGAGTGTTTTGACAACCTCGACTGGGATTTCCGAAAACCGCATGTGTGCCACATTTCCTATTTCATATCCTGGCTTGGTTACCAGGATTACATGGGATTAAAATAATATATCGTTGTTATGTCTTTTTAAGAGCAGCAGGCTCCTTCACAAACACCAAGGTGAAGCACAGAAAACTGGAAATTTGGAGGGAAAACCGAGACGGACCACAAACGATTTAAAACCCAAAACCACGTGACTCTTCTTCTGCTTCTTCGTTGATTTTCTACGGCTCTAGCTCCATAAGTGGTCTCTACCGCCCCCTACAGATCGCCTCGTTCTGCTGTAGCCTATACTGCAGGTTCAAATCAAAAGTTTATTTCATAATAGAGCTATCTATATGAAGTGTAAAAAAAAAAAAACAACTTATGAAGAACTACCAGCACACTAGCATCCAAAAAACATGTTCTAGCTTATTGAAAAACAGCACAAACATGGCAGCAACACAAGATTTGATAATCTGAAAATATCTGCATGCTTAAAAAACGAGAGGTCAGCACTAATGTAAACATTACTGAGTTTTTTTGGTAAAGGCACAGTTATGAAACAGTTGCAACTAGAACCTGAAAATATGTAACAAAACAGGTGTAAAAAATGTTTAAAAATGAACAACAACAATAATGTATGATAAGAGTGGCACATTGGCATGGTTGGGAAAATGTAAAACTGCTGATGTACCTTCAACAAACCAAAATCTGTAGCATACAGATTCAGATTTATTCATTTAGTTGTCATTCTAATCAAATATGAAACAAAAGACATTTCTCGTTAGCCAGAGAAACACACTAAGAAAAATTTATTCTATAAAAACATGAAGTAAATCACGTAAAATTTTTGAGGTACAATCTAACTGTTCAGGTTCAAACATCCTGAGTGCCAAGCTTAGAAAAGTGGACTACTTGTTCCACCTCGTTCCACCACAGCTGCATCATCTGTGAACTTGACACTGTGATTAGTGCTGGATTTGGCAGAATGTGTCTTAAGTGTGAGCAGCAGGGGTCTCAGCACGTCCCCCAGAAGGCTCCAGTGTTTATTATCATGATAGGGGAAGTCTGGATGTCTACAGTTCTCTGACAAGTGAGCAAACATGATAATGACAGTCTGATATAGTCAAAAGATCCACAAGCAAGTAAGTCAGCTTCAAGCTGGGACTGTTTTTGTTAAGTACTGTTCTAATGTCAGGATTGAACTGTCAAGATTAACTGTGTTGAGTCAAAATGGAACATAAAGTCAAATTAAGTTATAGTTTACAGTAAAATGTAGTTATTTCTACTGCAACCATCATGTTCTGCTCTGACACTCTAAAGGAGTGATAAAACTTCTCATTGTACTCAGATTAGAGTCTATAAAATATCTGGAAGTGTGTTAGTTAACTCAGTGTTTCCGACCATGGCGACAGGATAATTCCTGGTTTCACCCCTTGCTTGTCATATGTGATGATTATGGTTATGTGTATCTACTGATGTGCTCACTCCAGAGAACGTTGATAACTGGCAGACTGGATGTTCAAGGGGGCGAGTCAATCAGGAGAGCTGTCAAAGAAGCTTTTCATTGGACCAGCAGGAAGCTGGACAGCAGCGTCTCTGATGGGTACTCCTCAGTCTGGCAGACATACAGGCAGGCAGAGCCGGGTGAGCGCCTTTTGGCACCAGAGCAGAGCCGACATCCTGATGGAGCAGAGGCTGGCACCAGGAGAAGGCTGGTCTCTCCAGTGGCAGAGAGGGAAATCACTCACACACACACACACACACACACACATACAGGCACACTCCTGCTGAGGAGCAAACAGAGGCAGGCAGGGAGGGCTGCACTTGAAAAGCTGTCGTTGTCTGGAGATGGCTTTCATGTGAATGGGAATCTTAATAGGCGTTGTGCGAAGGCTCTTGTTGCACACTGAGCACCAAGTGATCCGCTTCTGTTGGGTTTTAATTAATAAGCAGTGTGTGAAGGCCACAATACACTTGGAGGGACAACACAGTGACTCCTTGGTGTCCTCGATGCTGTTTGTTTTTGAGTTGTACTCAAACTCCCACTGAGGCAAACACATAAGCAGTGAGGTGCTGACATTTTTTCCAAACTACAGTATTTTTACTCATTTAAGTCTAGCAGAGTGCTGTGGCTCAAAACTGGAGTATGCAACGGTAAAAACACGCCAATACTACCTTTTGTCAAACTGAATAATGTCATTAGATAAAAAATAATCGTATGCACTCTTGAACTTGTCACCAATCATCTAATCTAAATCTAAAGTTTGATTTCATAATAATACTATGGAATGCAGCACCAGTTTAACACTTTATCACCACATGTCAAGAGGATCCATCTGTAAACTATCCACCAATCAAATTTCTCCATTTGCTAAACCAGTACAGATCAGATTACAGCCATGTCATAGTACTGTAAGGATAGAACCAAACCACTTGCATCAAAAGGCTCAAAATATTTTCAGTGTTATCCTAAACTGTGCTAAAATGACACCATCCAAAACATATTTATGTCAAGAGTTAAAGTACAATTTACTTGAGTATGGAGGGCAGGCAAAACTCCTTCTTCATAATTCTTTTATGGGCTAAGGGTGCCACCTGGTGGATCATAAGGACATCCACAAAAATAAGTACTAAATTAGATACTGGAGATTTAATGGCACAGAAAACCTGACACTTAAGTGTGTGTCAGTAGGAAATTTTCAAAAAGCAAAACACTTTTATTTACTACTCAAATGTTTTAAGTGGAATGGCCATTCAGAGTATGGCATGCCTTATGATTTATAGCACCATGTTGAACCTGATGTCACTGCCTGTGCTAAAAATACTAGGGTTGTGCTGGAAAATAACTATGACCCTAAGATGCAGCAAGGAAAAGTTTGAGTTACTAGGACAAAAGGGTAGTAGGACATCTTACAGCAAAGATCATTTTAATGGTCCCAAATATTCCGAACAACTAAGTGTACACTCATGTAAAAGGAAAAAAAAAGAGAAGATATGACAAAATTCATCACATCTAGAATTCCACTCAATCTTTAATCAAGACGGGATTACAAATTCTCCAAAAAAATTTGCAGTTTCAAAGGGCAAAAAGGGTAAAACTAGCTCACCTACTGAGGTCTTTAAAAACCTGTTCAAGTGTGACTGAAAACGTCCTGAACATTTAAAGGCAGGTTTTTTTTTGTAGTCATTTACAAAAAAACAGGAGAACGATTGAGACAAATAAAGAACAAAAAGAAACTAATAAAGAAACTGCTGGCTTTTTTCTCTTGAGAGAAAGAATGTCTGCTGAGGAACAACGACACTGATGACATCATCAAACGACAAGGACAGCTCTTTGCCACATGCTGCCTCATGTCTGGTCCTATATACTAACTTAAAAGGACAAAAAGCAACAAACAAGGGGAGAGAGAAGGAGCTGAGAAGAAAAGAAGCAGAAAGGAACAGGGAGGAAGTAGATTCTGAGAAGGTGGGGGTGCGAGTGGTATTTCTGGGTCTGAATTGGCTGACCCATTTGGGCCACTGTGATGTCCTTCCCTGAGATGGGGGGGGAGCGGTGGGTTATGGTCCAAGCCCTCAAACTCTCTGGGATCTCAGTCTGCGTGCACATGTTTTTGTATGTGGTCTTTTCCTCCAGTTGCTAAATTACCAAACTTCACTCGGTCTCATTCTGAGTCCACTGGCGATCTTTTTTTGAGTCATCTTTTCCCCCCAAACTTTCACTTGTCTGTTCCACTTTTCAGACAGTTTTTCACTCCTGGTTATCTGATTGGCACTTGTAACAATGGGGCTAGTCTGAGGAGGCTTCAAATCTGTTCACAGTCTGCTCCTCTTTCAGCCACCCGCTGATCCGAGGGGTGGCTTTCATTCACTCATTTTGTTTACAAGTTTGATCATTCCTGTGTAAAGTCTATGCATCGAAACTGTCTAAGCAGAACACAAGCTGAGACAGTGGTGCTGCTTTACGAGCTCAGTTTGGATTTCTTGGAGGGTGGCAGAGGGTCCTCTTTATTGTCCCCATCTTCATCCTCTTCTTCCTCTTCCTCATCATCATCATCAGGATAGTCCACCAGTCCCACTAAACCTCCCTGAAGAAGACAAGCCACACATTGTGAACCCAACTATCCTGGTCAATTAGAGTAACGACAGATTTTTTTTGATTGCAATAACAGAGTGCATAGGGATGACATTTTTCTGTAGGCCAACCTGGAAGTTAGCATCACCCTCGTTTGCCAATGGAATTCCTCCACAGGCTTTTGGATTATTGTGGAAAATTTGTTCTGTGACAAAAGTTTGATGCATATACATTTTGTTCAGCAAGATAATTTTCCCAAGTGAACACCACTTTCATGATTACTGAAGCCCAAATACCATCACTCTACAACTCATGTCTCCAGTGTTTGTCTCATCTTGTATCTAGTAAATTTTGAGGCTCTTTTACTCTTTTTCATTGTTCTCATTTCATCTCAATTTTCCTCCTTTCTGTGAACAACTATGCTATTGTCTTTGGTAAATGTAAATCACATGGCTTTCTTCATGAGCCCTTCTTTATTCTCTCCCTTTGTTTCTCCATTGTTTAAATAAAGCTATCAAGCACAAATCAGTACAGTCCAATGGCACACTGGTGACCATTCTCTCCAATACACAAGGATTGTGGGAGTTGTGTGAAAACTGACAGATTAAGTGTGAAAATCATAATCAAAGCTCAATTTTCACCAAATTCAACCTTCACTTAAGTAGTGCTGGAAACAGAACAGACATTGTGTAAAGTAGTTTTTGTCTTTGTCTTCTGAATGCATCTTTAAAGAAACTCCACTCTAACAGTGCACATAGGACCTGTCTTAACCAACCTACACCTGCACATTTAACATGCTGACATGTACCTTTGTGGTTACAGTTGTGGTGGGGGATGAGCTCCGTGCACCTGAGCCCAGTGACCCCGGTGATCCCGGAGAACCTGGGTTCAATGAGGCAGATGAAGGGGGGCTTGACAGGTTGGTTTTAGTGGAGCCAGAAAAGGAGAGTTTGAAGCTGGGATTCTGTCTGCCTGACAAGCTCGACTTCCCCAATACTTCCTTGTCCTCTGTGTCTTTCACTGGGGGTAAAAACAGTTAAGTAGACAAGAAATGGTCAGAAATGTACCCTTTTAGGCTACCTTGCCTTCCCATGCAATCACAATACAAACATACAACAAAAGAAAAACGTGCTACCCTTTACATTATCTTTCTGTAATGTGAACCTCATAACAGTTGAAGCTCACATCTATCGAA